CGAGACTCTGCACCTTGTCATCCTTCAGGTTTGTCCACATGCCACGTTGCAGTTGTCTCGTCCGCGCACGCCGTCTCCTCAAGGTCACAGGCTTGCCCTCTGCTGGTGGTGCTTGTTGCTCAGGTAAGACTAGCTCCTGTGGTAGTAGCTCAAAAACTGTCTTGCCTGTCCATGAACGATCCAGATCTCGTCCAGCTTCAGCTCGATCATGCCAGTCGTCAGTGAAGACGTAGTCCTTGTCCTCGCCCACGTTGCGGATGTGGTTGATTCTCTTGCCGGTGATCCGATCTAGTGGTACAGGTGGGTCTGTTCCGTCAAGGGGTGCAAAAAGTGCACGTCTTGGAACTAAATGATATCGAACCAATTCAAGCTCCACCTCCTTCAACTCCCAGCGGTCTTCATCAACCATCTCCTCATCCGGCACGGGCTCCTGCTGGGCTTCTGGCATGGGTTCATCCTCCTCCTCATCCTCCGCCGGGAGTGCGTGTTCCCCACGTAACTCTCTGATCACGTAGAGCATCTCCATCTCACGTTGAACTCCTCGGCAAATGGCTCGGCAAAGAGGTTGAGGATACTCTGATGCTTGCTTTGACCTGCTACCACCAGAGTTGCTGCCAACGATCGGCTGGTGTGCTCCTTGTGGACAAGAGCACCTCCGACAGATCTGATTCAGGAGGACCTCCGAGTTCGAAAACCAACCAGTCCGTTTTTGCTCTGGTCGTAGGCTATCTCGATCTCGTTTGCCAAAAGGACATTGATCTCCAATGGCGAACTTGCCGTCCATCTCCTTTATGATCTCCATCATGATCTGGCGGTAGGTCCAAGCCTTCGAGCCGATCGGGTTCTCCACCAAATAGAACCTTGCATGATTGAACTGGTACTTGCAGATGTCCCTGACCAAACGCAGTGTCTTCAAGCCGACGGTCTTCCTCAGGAATTGCCATCTATCGTCTGGGGTCATGTTGGTCATGATGCTCCAGATTCTGCAGTCAAAGGCAATGATCGTCAGGAAGGGTCGGTGATGTTGTAGTACCTGAAATACATGCCGTCGTCCCGCTTCTCCAAGTAGGTCGTAACCATCCAAGAGATCCAGCGGCTGACTGCATGTCCATCCCCATTCCGAACTTGCCACTCTCGTTGTCCCGAAACGACCTCCGAAGGGCTCGAAGATCACCGTGTTCGTGAAGCCTTCCGTGGCTGCCTGCTCTGCCAGGGTGTAGTTCCTCCGCAGTGCTGCCCAAGTCCGGCTGTCTGAGGTTCGTAACCTTCCCATCGTCCTGGCCAACTCCTGAGCTCGCCGTAGAGATAACTCTCCACGTTGATCTTCAAGACGAATACCACGTGCTCCAAACTGAACCTTACAGCTCACTTGCTCCACCTCCATCTCGTCATGCCGATAGTCCGTGTACATCAGGGAGTAGGCTGCTTCACGGCCCAGGTAGACGAAGAAGTCATCGTTCACCGATTGACATGCAGGTGGAGAACTCGTGACCGTCTTGTTCTCGAGCTCCAGGTCGTAGGCCACCTTCACCGCGTAATGCCGTGTACCAGTCTCTAACAACTCCAGCTCCTGATCCAAGGCTTCAACTCGCATGACCTTCTTCTTCATGAACAACACCGCATCCAACGCCACCAGGGCCGCAATGCTCAGAAGCAAAGGTGTAGTTCCAGTGTCTACTTCTGCAGACTGAACTTGCCCAGGCCTGTTTCCAAGAAATATTGGAATCTTCCACACAGCGACCTTATGACTTGTGCTGCTGCCGTCTGCGAAGTGAAACACCTTGAACTTCTCCGTCTTCTCGCAAGCATAGCCCTCCGGGAGCGATTTCGAATACTCTTCACGCCACTTCCTCGAATGCATACAGGAAGTGCAAGCGGTATCCACCAAAGCCACATGCGATTCGTTGATGCCGGCGCCATCGTCCGTGAGCTGATGATGAACCTTCATCGCATTTTCTGTGCAACCACCGATTTGTATTTGACCTTCATCTTCATCTGCAGCAAAAGCACATTCCACACGGTCACGAAGTGCTTCAACGCAACCAAAACTGACTGAATTCTCACCATGCAATTGCCCCCCTCGAACCGCGGGGGCGTCCATCACATTCTCAAAGACCACCTCGCGGGAACCTGACGGCTCCCGAGACCTTGCCGTTGAGGATGTCCAATCCTTCGAAGAGCGGTCTTGTGAACGAACATCTGGTCTTTGGGAACTGGGAACAGGCAAAGAAGTAGCCACCATCGCTGCGGTTCTGGCGCAGCACCATCGGAGCTGTGCACTTATAGCATGCCATGTCATCCAAAGACTCACCCAGCTCCAAGTCGTCGAGGCCAATCTCCTTCGCCTTCGGCATCTTCTTGTTGTTCTTCGACATGCCAGTCTTCGCCATGCTCGCGTAGGCAGCTGCACCTCGCTCTTGCACTCCACGTTGGGCTCGTAGTACAGGTGGTTCCTGAGATCCCGAAGCCTTGCCCTTCTCGGACTCCATGATGTAGCTTCGAAATATGCCACTGCCTTTTCCACGATCCACCGGAACGCCATCGCCATATCCCAACGTCCTCATGCTTGGGGTCTCCTCCACCAGCCTCAAGAACTTGACCGTGCAGTTCTTCTTCGGCACCGCTCCTCCGTTGAACAGCTGCTCCAGGCGGTCGCGAAGGTCTTGCTTCGATCCAGAGGTCTGGATTCCCCATTTCTCGCACAAGCTCTGCAACTCGAAGACTTTCAGCGTCTCCAAGTTCTTGGGCACGGCCTTTGCGAAGCTCTCAACCTCCACGGTCTCGACGCTCGCCTTGATCTTGGGCCTGATCACCTCCTGCTGGTCGGCGATGGAGCGACCGAGTGCTGTTGTGGTAGTAGCGATGGTAGGCTCCGGATGACGGTAATTGCTGCTTCTCGGCATCGGTGTCTCACTCACCTTCTCCCAATCCGTGGAATCAGCGTAGGTGTCGGGCTTCTTCCGGCGGTCATCCAGCTCGGTGTAGCCAGCGTCCTGATCCATGCCACCCTTCTCATCGTCGTCCTCCGTGGTGTGAACCATCATGCAGTAGGCCTCTGTCAACACCAACTCCGCCTCGTCTTCATCCAAGTCCTCCAGAGAGAAGTAGGTCGGATCGGCAGAGACCCAATAGGCGGACTTACTCGGACCCTTGGACTTGCCGGATTTGCCCTTGCCTTTGCCTTTGCTCTTGCCCTTGCCACGATGAGGACCGGCTTTGCTTGTCTTGGGACAAGCCACATCTCCTGCCCAGTGTCCAATCTGATGACATGCTGAGCACCTGCTCTTGGACTTCTCCCGCTCGATGAGTTGCCGCCGTTCATCTCCGCCACCAGAAGCCTTGTAGAAGCCGCGGGACTTCTGAACGTCACGGAGCTTCCGGCGTGCCTCTTGATAACTCGAGCGGTTCTTGTTCATCACCGCGTAGGCCTCCCCGACGTCACCATCTTGGGAAGCTCCACAATCGGACTTCTCCTCGTACTGATCCTCCTCCTGCACCTGCATTGCCTCTTCTTCCCAGTCTTCTCCCTCGTACTCGCCATTCTCCTCGCCATACTCATCGTACTCGCCGTAGAAAGCCTCCTCGGGTTCTGTCACATCTTCATCCTGAACTGCATATCCACGCCGAGGAAACCGTCCGGGTTGTCGCCGAGGTTCTGGTCTCCAGGAAGTCTTCTCACGCTCATGCAGGTCGTGGAAGGAAACACGAAGTGACTGCTCAATCCCCTTTCTCTCATAAGCGTTCTTATTTGCCAGCAAAATAGCTCGACGATCTTCACGGGATAAATGGCAGCCCTTGAGCAGGAAGTAGCTCAAAAGATCCTCACTCATGGCCGAAGTCTCATCCAGGTCACAGAGATCCTGCCATGCCTGCAACTTCTTCCGGAGGTATTGATCGATTGGCTCGCCACGTCTTCGAACGGCGTGTTCGAAGAAATGATCAAATGCTTCTGTCTTGCGGATGATGCCCTCCTTCTCAATCTGCTGCAGTGCTGTAAAAATCTCTTTGTAACCATCTACTTTCTTCAACTTCGAGGGCTCCAGGACCAAAGGCTCCACGGTCTTCCACGCTTCGCCATGTAGGCAATTGACCAACTTCAAAGCGAACCTCTTCTGCTTCCGATCCAGATCTGCTGCCTCCTTTTCTGGTGTGTCGCCCTCGCCCTCCAGGGTTGCATATGCGAACAACACTCTGCGGCGGTACTCCTTCATCAAGCTCGCCACTTCGCCTGTATAATGCGGAATACCATCCTTGTCGACAACAATCTCTGTATCAGACCAAAAAGGTTTGCCTCCTCCAGTCGCGGGCGCGGATGCCATGGAGCACCAGCTCCGCTACCAGTGCGAATGCGCAACTGGCAGCGTTGGGCTCACTTTTCCTATATTCACTCACGAAAGCTCCAAAGGTGAAACATGCGAATGAAACACAATCTGAATGTCATCTGATCTGATGTCCTGCTCTGTTCTGCTGTCACGTGTCTGCATGCCATGTGAAGTGGGTTGTGCCGCGCGGGCCGACAGCATGCTCTGGGCTATGTAGCCACCGCTTGCTCGGGCCAGCCTTGATGCACATGCACTGATCCAATGCACCCAAAGTCAATTCATGCTCCTAGGCTGGTAGACCTAGGCGATTCTCACATAAGGACATAAATAGAGAAATACATAAGACAGAAATAAAGAGAGTGACAAAGGGAGGCTGAAAGAGGGAGAGGCAACATAGTTTTCAGCTCCCACTCTCGGGTTCATTAACGAAAACAACACACGAGTCCGACTTTCATGTTTGCCAATTCGACTGGCTTTTGGCCAGGTGGTTGCCTGCGACTGTGAACTTTGGCACATACTGACAGGCAGCATCTTGAAACACGGCTTTCACATTTTTGAAGCAGGTCCCTTCATCTCTTCCAAGGGGTCAAAAAATGAAGAAAAAAACCGATAACTTCCCCCCCCAGTGAACGAGCATACGCTTGCGCCGCGGCCCACCCAGGCGCGGAAGAGTCCTGCCTTCATTCCTGCGAAAGACGCGGCCGCGCTGGCGCTCGCGCGCCTCACGGCCAACGTTCAAGGCTAGACCTGTGTGTGAAGGCGGGGGGATAGAGTTTCCCACATGTTGGCCATGGCGTTATTTTCGCGCCACCTTTGAAAGAATACCAAAAACGGTCTATGATCTGGGCAACACCTGCAAAATGCATAGAAACTGGAGTGTCCTGGACTCGCCTTGGAGGATACTCAAGGTTTTCCCCTAATAAGGGAAGCTAACAGGAAAAAGATCTTGACACACGGGCGTGTCTTTGTCTTGGGCCCCCAAAATGGTTTCGATGTTCCTTTTTGGTTTCCATGGAAAACCACACAAAAAAAGAAGAGGGGGATCCCAACTCCAAAAAAGACGAGCCACCCGCATGCAATGAGTCCATTTCAAGAGGCCTCCAGAAAGGCATGTTGCCGTTCGCGCTCCAGTTGCTGCTGCTTGGCTGTGTGCGCTTTCTCTGCCTCTTTGGCCTGGCGTTGCGCTTGGAGGCGCTTGGGTATGAGTCACAATGGGGGGGGGCACCAGCATTGGTCTTCCCTTGGTTGCCGCCGGCTCAAACCACGCAAAAGACTGGTTCCCCAACAAACAAATAAACAAGCACGCATGCAAGCAAGCCTACAAGCAAACACGAACAGAGACAAGCGCAGAAACGGAAGCAGAAACAACCACACGCAGAAACATAAACAGAAGCACCAGCACAGTCGCAAGCGCAAGCCCAAACACACACACACACACACACACACACACACACACACACACACACACACACACACACACACACACACACACACACACACACACACACACACCACACACACACACCACACACACACACAACACACACACACACACACACACACACACACACACACACACACACACACACACACACACACACACACACACACACACACACACACACACACACACACACACACACACAGCCGAAGATTGCGTGGCCACGCTATGTTGATGAGGAAACATCGAATTGAAGTCTTGAACAGCTTCAGGAGCAGCAACACGCCGGTAGCCCTCAGTGGTCCAGTCCCTCTTATACCAAGTGCGCCTGGTGCGCTGGTCTTCGTCATGAGCCAGGCTTGGGGCATAGAACTCCTTCCACTCCCTGTATGTGTGGCGCGGAGGAGGATCATCACGTTCTTCTTGTGGCGTCCATGATCCCGGATGAAAAATCTTGACCCATTGAGTGTCTGGTTGTTGAGGATCCGGGCACCACTCCAGCCACGGCATGACATCCCAAAACCTAGACGCACAACCGAGAGTTATACGGCTGCAGACAACAAGCATTTCATGCGACACATCAACAGACATGCCAAGCTAACGCAATACACTCAATCCTGCACTCGCAGCATGTGCAGCGCCAAACACCGCGGTTTGTGACCAGGCGCGACTCAGGTGCCGATGCCACTCGCCCCAAGCAAATCGAAGAGCATGGAAAGCCGAGGACGGACGTCAGTCACCGTCCGAGTTCGAGGATGCCGACGAAGAGGACAATCCAGCGTACATGAGGTCCGGCGATCCCGAAGTGAAAATTGGGCGCGCAATGTTCGGGTGCGGATGGCCGAGCCGCTGGTATCCTCTGGTGCGCCAGTCACGATAATGCCATGTATAAAAAGATGCATAGGAGACCGGCTGGAAAAAGGAATCCAGAGTGGTGCTAGGCCAATACACCTCGAAGTGGTAGAACCTGCGCCATTCCCGATAGGTTGATGTGTCATCCGGAGCCGGTCCCAAGGTGGAGTCGGCGACAGGTTGCCACGGACCGGGTACATAGACTCGAATCCATTCAACTCTTGTGCTTGCAGGGCCATTCACGAGGTCGTACTCAAAGTAGCGCGGCAGGGACCATCTGTCAGCGCCAAATATTGTCGAATTGAACATACCAACCGAATAAGCCGCTTTGAGGCAAAAAGGAAGTCAGCGAAAACATGGATAATATGGAGATCACACAACACAAGACAAGGCAACCCAAGCACAAGCAGCAAGCGAATCCGAAAGCAATCAATCTAAAGGCCGTAGAAAAAGCACTCAAGCAACGTGACTCAACAAGCGCAGTGTTTTAGCCAACATGTTGTTCACGCATCAATCAGACTCGTTCCAAATAAAATTGGGATCATGGCTCGGCGGGGGAGAGGGTTCCCGCCACGCGCCATCAGGAACTGAAGACACCGACGAGGACGAAATTTCGTCATTCACGAAATCCGTCGATCCAATGTATGGACGTGGAACACCAAGGCGTTGATAACCTCGCGTGTGCCAGTCTCGGAATTCCCACACGTAATAGGACGCGTAGGAGACAGGCATGACATTCGGGTCCGCAGTGGTGCCTCCGGTGCTGTCACGGGGTAAGTACACGTCAAAGTGGTATACCCTGCGCCACTCCCGATACGTGGAGGTGCGGTCCGGGGTTGGGCCCAAGGTGGATGCAGCCACAGGCTGCCACGTGCCCGGTGTGTAAACCCGAATCCATTCCAGGCCTCTCTCAATGTGGTACTCAAAGTAGCGCGGCAACATGACAACCGAATGAGTCGCCAAAATACTAGGGCAAGCGAAGCCAAGGGATCTGCGGTGTGACAATCATGCCATGACCGACATGCACGCCATGCCTAATCAGCAAGCAATGCAATGCATAACAACTTTTCCAAACTGAATACTGGACGAATCAACAAAGTCTGTAGTGTACTGCGGCAATGATTCACCGCCGCTGATGACGCGCGCATCTGCAATGGAAATGTCCTGGTTGACGCCGCACACAGGGGGAAAGACATTTCCGTCCATGATGTAGGAAGGCATGGCAGTAATGCTTGCATCTTGTAGTTCTGGACCGTGTTGCACGAGTAGCCCTTTTCGAAGTGAACACAGTGAAGGGCCGCCGAGAATAACGTTCATCAGAAGATGACGTTGTTCGAGTGCGTTTCGGGGAACGCGTGAGGCTGCGGAGATCGTCAGCACGGGAGTGGCCAGCTCCGCAAACTGAGCGGCGTGTGCGCTCAGAGACCATAGTAGCCGGGCATGACTGTCCTCGAGGAGAAGGTGTAGAGGAAGTACGCAATGAGGGCATGAACTGTGGATGAAAAGTCATCGGTGGCGGTGGTGGTGGTGGAGGAGGAGGAGGAAGTAGTAGCAGCGGTGGTGGAGGTGGTGGTGGTGCCGTCAAACGAAATGCTCTGTCAAGCAATGTGCCGGCTGGGTAGTTTGGTCCGTGATACTGTAACCACGTCGGCTGCGATCCATGGGTCCAAGTTATGAATGTCTGCACATTTTGCTCCAACATGATTTGAACACTCATGTCCGCAAGACAAGGCAAGACAACAAAAAGGTCAACGCAATGCACAACCACTCGCAAGGAATTTTGACGGCTGCAATATTGCAAAGTCATCTAACCGCGAGCCTCAAGTCGCTGGTAGACTTTCCACGCCTGCTTGACTTCGTCGATGGGTTTCTGAAGGAAACGGGCGATAGTCTTGTAGGTGGGCCTGGAGTCCTTGTCCTTTTTGCGCCGGACCATCTCATCCAGCTCACCCTGTGTCCATGCCGTGAATGGTTCAAGATATTCATTGCGGAGGGCAATAGTGAATTCCTGTAGAAGTTCACGAGGTCCATGAACCACCGTCGGCGATGGACGGAAAGATGAAGCACCGGGATGCGGACGCACTGAACCGTCCGAATCCGAATCAGGCGTAGTGGACGAAGCGTGCCCCGGCGCACGATCATTGCGTGCGGCATTGGGAGCGAGAGGTCTTGGTGGTGGTAACCGATCCACCAGAGTCTCTGGACGTTGACCAGGATTGCCTCCTGGAGCTCCACGACGTGTTTCACGAGGAGGAGATAGTGCTGGTATATACCAGGTAGAAGAAGTATCCACAGGCCAAGTTCTGGGGCGGGTAGGAGTGCGAGACCGATCTGACGAGATGCGCTCCGTGATGATGCGTGGGCGCAGTCCATGCCTTGAGATACGTGGTGCTCTGGGAGGCATCCGGGTATCTGATTCCTGATTTCGATCTGCCGCCAGGGCAAAGTTCAGGGTGTCCAGGGCAGTGGCAACTTGGGAGGCGAGGACGTTGAGCACCGCCACCAGGTTATTCACGAACTCTGTAGACAACCACATGGCAAGTGAAATCACAGCAAAGGCGACACAAGCAAGAAGAGCTGCGAGTCAACACACACAACTCATGCTGGCATGCACTGATGCAAATCCGTAGGCTCAGCGGCTGAGAACCTTTTGCCGCTGGTCGAGATTCAACGGCCATATGATAGGCCAGATGGTCGACACGCCGGCATGGCCTTGACTGCAGGGGGTGGCTTCGGCACGGCAATGCGATGGTCCGAAGCAAGAATAGGCCTCGCACGACGGCCAAGTGGTCGTCTGCGGTGACTACGGCTTCGAGACCGACGTCACGGTGTCTGGACCTTCTTCTCCGATTGTGCTCCCTGGAAGCGCTGTCACTCACCGGCTCAGGGAGATCGGCCGGTTCCATCCGATTGATGGAGGTGGCCACCAGCGTGATGGGCACTGTTGGGTGAGGTGGCCTCACCGATGAGGCTTTCGGAGATGCAGGCGCCGGTGTCGATGGAGGCGGTAGTGGTGGTTGCCCGACGGGCGCCGCAGGTGGATGCGGCGGTTGTGGATGCCGTTGTTGACCCTCAAGACGTTGTAGTCCGGCCACCATAATACTGATCTGCGACGAGATAGAGTGCAGCATGAGCCGACATTCTCGTAAAAGGTCCCCATGATCCATGACAGCGCAGGATACGGCTGGCAATGATGGAGTGGTCCGATCAGTAGCAAACCCAAACTGCGGAAACATCAAACTTAGAGGCAAACAAGCAATACGACGCAGCAATCCAAAAGCATGCAACAACACCACATGTTTTTTCCGGAAGATGAGCGTCATGATGGATACCACGAAAACGTTGACACAAACCGCGGAGGGGTAGTGCAAGAAAATGGTACTGCATCGCATTGCCGAAGACATTCACCAGAACATCCCCAAGTAGTT